ATAATTAACTATATTATGCGATCACGTTGTACATGTTGATAAGACCACCCAATTGGTCTGTGCCTCGCATTGCTGAGGAATAAACGTTTATTTATTTATTATAATATGTGTTCTGTCATACTGGCTGGATCGAAGTGTCTGTCTGCCGCAGAAGTTATAGCGCTCACTCGACGAAAGATGACTACAATCACCAACTACACACGCTTTTTCCTTACAGAAATAGTACAGATACCTTGATGCTTGCTGGTGATTTGAACACTCAAGTTGGAAAACCGTCCACTGATGAACTACATCTAAGCGGCCAACACGGTATAGGTTCCCGTATTGATAACGGTGAGCGATTTCCACACCTGTGTGAAATTGCTCGTCTATTTCTCGCGAGCACTAACTTCCGACAGTGCCAGCAGATGAGCGACACTGCACCCACCACTCTCGGGCCAGGTAGGGACGCAAATCGACCACATCGCGATCAGTTACCCCTGGAAAGGATGCGTCCAAAACTGTCACTCGAGTTGGAGCACCAGTGTGGACTCAGACCACGCATTTGTTTGTGCCGATCTGCTGGTGCGTTTTGGTGGGTCTCCACAACGGCACTGTGAGGCACTGGCGAGGCCAGGTGTTCTGAATGCGTATCGAATTACGCTGGCATTTAACCCGAGTACACGCTCACTGAACACAGTTGAAGATCACTGGTTGCTCATCCGCCAGACCTTATTAGCAGCAGGCGTATCTTTACATGGCAAATCAAATAACCAACCTGGACATTGGGTTTCTACGCAGTCTCTGGAACTTCTGCATGCTTGCCAACCTAATCCGGATGAAAGTGAACATTACGAGACTCGCAAAGATATCAAGGCAAAACTGCGTGCTAGCCCGAAGTGAAACCTCGAAGCCACACTATCTCATCCTGCGTCGGAGATGGATACAGTCGGAAGTTATTCCGTCTGATATGCGAAACTGGCATCGGGAACCTGATGTTTGCGAGACCACATGTGACGAAAGTGAGCAACCGGTCCACAGCTTGTCAAAACGCCTGAAGCCTTGGGCCAAACACTGTGAGAAGCAGCTTAATCAGTCACGATTGTCGGCTTTTCCATCAGCCAATGAACGCACTATACTCCCTGGACCGTCCGATTGGATCTGTCCTCGCTTGCAGAAATCGAACATGAGATCAAACGGTGGAAATTGAACAAGACCGCTGGAGCAGGTGGACTTCATCCAGCCTTTTTCAAAGTAGGGGGACGTGCTCTTTTGGACGATTTACATAAATTAGTATTGAGCCTATGGGAACAGGAGACTGTCCCAACAGACTCGAGCCGCTCCGTTATTGTCCCAAGTTTCAAAGGAGCCTCATGTTCAGAATGCGTCAGTCACAGAGAAATCAGTCTGATCTCAGTTGCCTCTAAGTTGCTTGCCTCTGTCATCCTCGATAGACTGACTGGCACTCGTGAAAGCCAGATGCGCTAGGAGCAAGCCGGCTTTCGTCGATGTCAGGGCTACATCGATCAAATCTTCACTTTGCCTTAATTGTTGGAGCACCGCCATGTTTATTGGCGACTCATCGTAGCTGTGTCCTTAGACATCAAAGTGGCCTTCGATTCTGTTGATCGTTATGCTTTTTCGGACTATCTACTGCACTGGGATCGGAAATAGAAGACCAGGTCCCATTCTTGGATGTGTTAGTCACCAGGATGATTGACGGAGAATTGCAAACATCGGTTTACAGGAAAGGAACACACACCCAGATTCTAAACTGCTACAGCAATCACCCGAAATGTCATAAAGTAAGCTGCGTGCAAACTCTCGTAAAATTGAAACACATTGCAGCATTCATGAGACAGAGCGGAAAGAAGAGATATATCTGTTCAGATCATTTCACCTAAATGGATATTTACATAGCTTCGTCCGGTGATATATAAACAACAAAGTAAGACCTCTCAGCCTGCTCAAATGATCACAAAAAGAATCGTTCTACCCAATGTAAAGAACATCGAAATGACAGTAAGAGTATTCAAACAACACGATCTTACAGTGGCTCACAAACCAACTACCACATTGAGCAGAAACCTGTCGAAACCCAAAGTTACATCTGTAGCCCACGAAAGACGAAATGTTTACTAGATACGGTGTCAAGATTGCGATAAGAACTATTTGGGTTAGATAGGAAGGCGACTGTCAGCAAGGATAATAGAGCATAAGAGAGTTTGTAAGAACCACTACGCTCTCTCACTGGTTTCCTTACATACGGACGAAGAATGACCGCTTCGATTGGAATAACACAGAGGTCCTAGCACAAGGAGAGACACGAAAAGGAAGAGAGTTCCTGGAAGCGTGGTACTTGATGAAGCGCTCGATAAACATGCATATCGAAATTGACCCAGTTTACCAAACGTTAAGACGCAGAGGACTAAAACAGCCTAAAAATCGTCGTGAGCAGCTAAACGAAATATCAACACAACCGCAACAGCTGGAAAAAAAACCATCCCGTGTCTATCAGAGAAGTTGGGCAGACGAGTGAAGGTCACGGGGCACAGGTCGAGGTCGAGGTCAATACAAAAATCATTTGCTGATCGATCGCAAATAGACGAGTAAGTCAGCGGATTACATTCGAGCCAGCAACGCACTGAGGAAGTCACCTCGTTTAGTGATGAAACGTTTGCATACCAGTTACGAAGCTCGGTGAACCCAGGAGCTAGAAGTCGTCTAGAAATACAAGTATCTAGGCAGGTATATCAGCGCCGGCGGAATTGAAGATGAGATCACAAACCGCGTAGCAAAGGTTCGAGGTTCTTATGCCAATCTCTGCCACCTGTGGTGCCAGCTTGGCATTACTCTGGCGAGCAGAGTTTACAATGCAGCTGTCTGTTTAACCCTCCTGTACGGTTGCGTAACTTGGCCCATAAAGTCGACAGACTTAAAGGGATTTGTTACGTTCTACTATCGCTGCATTCGCAGCATAGCTCATGTCTGGTGAGAGCACTGCGTGAGCAATGCGTTTTCGGCGCTAGAAGAGCGAGTGAACCGCTCAGCACCATTATATCACGCACCAGTTTCCGATGGGTGCGCATGCCAGCCCACCGACTACCGCAACCTTTGTTGTTTGCGCGCCGGGATTCTGGATGTAAGAGGAGGAGGGTAGGCCAAGCGATGACTTGGTCGATAGGAATGAAGTCTCTCACTTCGAACCTGGCATCGGTCGGTGTTTCTTCACTGCCGGGTTGGTGGCCGAATGACGATGAACATGTTTGGTTGGGTACACCAGCTGAGATGATGAAAAGCCGACCTCAGTAGCGTTTGTGTTATGAGTCTTTGTCCCTTTAGCTTCTCCCTCCAACAGCAATCTCAAACCTTCTGTTTAATGTGATATTTAGTATTATGTTGCTAATTTGACAGCTTTTTTAGTCTGTATTGTTGATTTTTTGTATTTCGGCACATTGGCTGAGGTGTATCTTTTACCCTCGGCTAACGTGTATTAATGATGATGATGTGGAACGGAGAAGACCTCAAACTTTCGAAAGGACAAATACTACGAAGTTTAAGCATATGCTCGAATTCTGCCTTGGCCACTTTCGACTTCTCACGCGCAAGACCTAGTGATCGAGCGGAGGCTGCTGGATCACGAGCTCGTATTCGGTGCGTGACGTTAGTTGCTACTGTAAGAGTGGCGTTAGAAGGGCGAACTAATTGTAGAAGCTACAGGAAACGTCTATGGAGTCTCAGCTTTGGCTTGGTGGGAATGATTGCCTCGGTTGATGTCTGGACTCCGCAGAGAAGTCTGTTTGACTATTTGATTACTTTTCGCTAACGGGTACTGACCATAAGATCGAAATGATGAGTGTATTTGATAACAAGAATAGCGAATGGTACAGCAGCCACTGTAAAATCTAACGGAATTTACTTTTATAGCTAATAGATGGTGAGGAAACGCCGATCGAAAGTTGTTGTGGGCGTTCCGTTAGTGGCACGTAGGTGTGCTGTCTGTCGCTTAGTCGATTCATTCGAGCGTGGTGGAATCACGCTGACTTCTGTCATAGTGTCAACTAAAAAGCATTTGAGATTCGATCACCGATTTTGAATAGATGACTTGCGGTATTTTGGTTATCCACGTCAGCCGCTAGTAATTGTCGATCAGGTTGTTCCGAGTCACAGTCGGTTGGCACCGATTGACCATTGACTTTTTTCTTTATCAGACTTTGGATCTGTCAGCGTTTGTCAAAGCTTTGTTCGGCATGCGTCTTTCGAGTGTGACCACGTGAACTGCGTGTAAACCTACGCTGTTGCTGGTTTCGGCTCAAAAGTTATACTTCTCGTTTCACTGGGGCGATTTCGTCCACAATGCTTGCGTTTTGTTTGACGTGGCAGTGGTCTGTACCCGGTGAGGCGTGTCAGCTGGCCGGGCGATGCTAGACGAAACGCAAAGTGGCGTTATGTAACGTTCCAGTACATTGCTTGTGATTTTAGCAAGCCTGGACCTCTTAGGAGACGGTGCATCTCAGGTAGGAATGTCGACGGTTTTCTGCTTCCTAACTGCAAACCGGTAAGATTTTAGATAGACGAGGATTTTGGGAAGGTGTGCAGCGTTTTATTACGTCATCTTTCCGAGCACTATACTGATTCGTTGGATCAGCCGTTACAATTCAGATCACCGAGCTGGGCGGTGATATTTGTTAGCAGCGTTGAGCTTATTTATAAGGAGAATCCACTACTTCCTGGAACATTGCTGCCGAACCATTCACTGGAACGAGATAATCCTGAGCCACTTAACTTGCATCACGAAGAGATTGTACGATGAGTCAGCATTGTCATGTTATGCCTTGAAAAACTGTGCATGATTATGGGATTCTTTTACTTGTTTGCAGTTTGTGCGTGTTCATGTCGTCTCGTTTATGATAAAACTACGGAATGCTCTGTCACGTTTTATGGTTTCTTACTATGTCAATTGTGCATGGTTTAAATCACCGTCACGCTCTAACCACTTCCGCTGATTTCCTCCTCCGCAGCAATTTACTTCATTTGGGCCTACGTCCCACATGCGATCCTACATGCTATTGGTATCACCTACCTACCTCACAGGTAAGTCATGTTCATTTCTGATCTTCGGCATGCTTCCACCGATGTCTCAGTGACTCCTTTTTTCTCATTTCCCTCTAGGTCAACTTCTCATCCACCACTTTCCCATTAAGCATTAGTTAACGCATATATGTTTACCTAGTGAGGGTGTAATTAACTTTTCAGTTGTCACCAGCTCCTGTTGAATTTACTGAGAGCTATTGCACTAATAGCCTCTAGTCCGTGTCCCTTTTCTATCTGGAGGTGTCTGCATCTTCAGTTGGTAAAAGTGCAACTCTTTGTTCCACGCAATCCCAATTCTGTAGCTTGTGGTACCCTGCTTAGTGTGGACCTCATCGTAGACACACTGAAAAAATTCGCAGAGACACTATTAGAAAAGAAAAAGAAAGACACCAACAAAACTTCGGTATGTAGTAACGACGCGTCGCTGCCGCGCAACCACCACCGGTCGCACGTGGGATAGGGATACTGCTAGGGTCACCCTGCCCCTACGGAAGATCGGACCCGCCCCGTCAGATTACAAGTTCGTTTCCCTTAGGCTTCGGGTAGAGGCACTAATAACGCGAAGTCAACCTAAAATTTCTATAAAAATGCTGCAATATTGCATTCCTTTTGCTGGTAATCTCTGTTCATGGATGAGGAATATTTCCCGGTTGTTTTCCCTCTCTTTGTAGACATTGGGCAATTACCGGTGCCATCCTACCACTCGTCACGTTCGTCACTGTCGTTATCATATATACTCTGAATCACCAATCAATTGTCCTTCCACTCACTTCTTTCAACCTGACCGAAGGTGCTTGCGCATGAGAGCATTCTGCGATGTGACCGCTTTGAATGGATTTTCCAAATAATTATGCCGTTTTGTTTATGCGCAGTATGCACACAATATATGTTGGTTCGTTAACTGTTCTAGCTGAATTTGGGCCGCGGATTCATTCCACAGGTTCAGTTATTTCTTGACGAGGAAATTTGCATGCATTGTTTGTGTCTGCTTCCGGCATTTTTCTTCAACCATCATTTTTTACGTCAACATTTTCTATCTGTTTCAGATGAGTATTCCAGATTCCGCAACAATAATGGTCTTCCTACACTTGACCATAGCGAACACTGCGGAGCTGTCAACTTGGTAGTGGAGGACTTACCTCTGGCTTTGGTGATGGAGCAACTTTACCTAAACCCTTTGGCACTCAATAAACCCAACTGACAAAGACGGTTAATGTTCAGACATGACCTTTGGCTTTACTTTAAAGTCTACGCATGATGTAGATTTAAATACCATTGTATTATCGTTACCCGTCAAATTATTTTCATCACTTGCGCTATGCGTCTCATAATTATCTCAAACTATTACAGTCCTTGTGATACTTCAGCTCACTTTGTGTTGGATATCGCATTCATGATTGGGTAACCAGGCTGATTGTTACCAGTGAACTGATCGCACTTGTTAGGACTACTAATGTGATAGTTGAACTCTGACTTTGGAGATGAAATGCATTCTCAGGCGCGAAATATTTGCATCAAAATAATACACTTGAAAACAAACGGTCGCATCGAAATGAACGATCTCACTGTTGACTTCCTCTTTCAGATGATCAATGAAACGAGCGCGCCACCACTTCGCGTATGTCCTTGAGAGTAAGGGAGTTTTCTGTGATAATTTCAGCGAAAACCATCTTTCCATCGTTTAGATAAGGCGAAAATGTATTCCTACATCCGGTGCTCCCATTGGACTTGCTCGCTGAGTTGTCGCACGGCCTGCTGTTCCTTTTCGGGTCACAGCAGGTATATTTGGTCTATTTAAAACGTCCGTTTGCGATAAACAGTCCAACGGAAAACATTCCTTCATGATTCGGAACCGTTTGCGACATTGTGCCATACTTCGTTGCTGTTGTATGCCGGTAAGCGCACTAGGCCTATCTGCACCAGCCACTGCAGCAGTACCCTGAACCCACACGAACATAATGAGAACAAACGCACGACGATCTTGGGAAGTGTATTCTGCCGATGACTCGTCTCTTTACAGGCTTAATGTGTGTTATAAATCAATCGACAAACGTTCATTGAATCAGTTGCGAGATTGAGCGTGCATACGTACGTGAGAACGTAGAATTGCCAATTAGCGCACACAGCACATCAATTTGGACTGTGAGTCGATGGGCTGGTCACGTCGTTTCCATCCTCGTTTTTCGACCTTGGTGCCGCGTTCGGTTGTAGGGCCGTGTACAATTTTCTGGCGTCAACTTTGCGGCCGTTTGCGACCCGGTACGTACGCGGTCCTAACATTCTGATAGTACTGACGGGTGCGGTAGTGTGTGTGTCTTCCTTTCTCTCAACCGAACTTACGTTTTCGGGACACAGTTGTAGACCACCTTTTCATAGGTGGACTGATTACGTCGGTGACGCTCAAGCTGGTGGGGATCGTTGTGTTCGGGGATCGATATAGCTGCGTTTAATTTCGTTCACAACATTAGCTCCCCCGGTGTGCGGTCGGTCGACCTGTGACGCGATGTTCTGTGTAAACAGAGCCCGAATTACTGCATCTTCTCATTGCATGCCGGACAAACGTGCCGCCTGTACACTCTCCTTTAGCGAGCGATTTGCGCACTCAGTCATATCGTTGGCTGCTGGGTTGTACGAAACCGTCCGTGTTTCACATCGCGTAGTTTGTAAATTGTGGTCCGTTATCTGTCACAATTACTTTGGGGAGCTCAAATCTAACAAACAGATGCTTCAGCCACCGTATAATTGTTGAATTTCAGGTCATTTGCTGTGAAAGCACCTGGACACCAAACCCTTCCTCTAGTGCCATGTTGCAGAATGGAACGGTTACATGATGTCGATCGCCACTTTCGACCAGGGTTTTATTGGATGAGCGATAGGCTGTATGGGTGCATTAACCGGCTTCGAGCTCTTGTCGCCTTTTTGACACACGTCACAGGGCTGGACACGCGTCCACCATTCT